AAAAAAAATTCAGTTTAGCAATTTGTTTATTCCTTAGCAGCTTTGCATGGACAAGAGAGACCATCTCACAAGGATTATTCTAGCCCATTGGATCCACTGAAATGGAAGTTTTGAGAGATTTTTCATAAGGTTGATAAGGCATTGAAAAATCAAATATATATCACCTTCCTTAGTGGTTCAGATTATATGAAGAAAGTAACTTATAAATTGAAAACCATGTGAGATGTAGCAAATAAGTTAAATAATGGTTATACTGGGAAAAGTGTAAGTTCTCTGGGGAATTATTTTTAGGAATACAAGGAAGGATATAGTTTTTATTCTGAAATATGACTTCTGGGGTTATCACTTTCTATGTGCCCATCTGTCTGCGAGTAAATTCTGATCCAACAATTATTACTTTATTAAAATCATTAAATTCTTGCCAATTTTAGACAAATTGTAAACTTATAATAGTAAGCAAAATTCTTACTAATACAACTATTATATAGTTATATATTCATTCAATCATTGTATCTATGTAGATTTTATTTTTGTTTTACTAAATTAGGAGTGTAGTAGACAGACAATAATGGATATGGCCTTTTTTTTCTTACTTTACACTGCTTCATGAACATTCTTCACAAATGTCCATACATTATTCATAAACTAAGCAAGTTTGAAGCTTCTCATTTTTAGTTGATTTGTACACTGAGGATAATGAGATATATCTCAAGTGAATGTTGTAAGGATTAATTGAAATTCAATATGTAAGTTACCTATCCCAATGGCTGGCAGTTGGTAGGTGATTCAATATTAATTCATTCTTCGCCATTCAATTTACCATCCATTCAGACCCATATAAACTCAGGAATACGGATAAATTTATTACCTACCACCTAACAGCTCATATACGAACAGCTCATATATGAACAAATGATTAGTATCTGCAACATGCTTTTTTATTTCTAATACTAATAGTATTTGCTTCCAAGAGTTATTAGAATCCAATATGCATGATCTCAAAATTATCTGGCCGAATACAAGGTGATCATACCTTTCTGAGCAGTTGTCTATCAAAGTAAAAAAAAAAATGACATTTTCTCCATAACAGTTATATAAACTTACTGATACACAGACATGATGATTACATTTCCATCTATAATGTTTAATTTTAATTGGTTTATACTACAAAAAAGATATCAACTGAACTACATTGTTTCCTTTTCCTTAAATCAAAACAAATTTAATACTTTTTACTTATCAATTGAAAAGTATACAAATATTTTCAAAAATTTAACAAATACAAAGTAAACATAAAAACATAGATTAAATAGAGAATCATGCAAAAGATACAGTAGTCTAGCACTGACTTAACAGAACACGGTGAAACTATATTAATTTGACACTATTCAATTTACTTCAAAATAAATAAAGATGATAGTGATCATATAATGATATAAAAGGCAGTTCTCTGACAAGAACTAATAGTTCTTATATTTTACTAATTTATGATTTTCCCTTCAGGTTCATTTTTTTTCCCTGTGTAGTTAGGTGCTTTGCTTAGTGAAATTTCATTAAAAATTTTGCTCAGCATTTTTCTATGTTGCTTCAGTTGACTGTCCATTTGGAATCCTCACATGGTGGTGTCAGAGAATGTTTTATGCCCCAAACCAATTATCCACATACTAAACAAAAGGAAAACATTTTTTCATTCATTATTATTGCATTAATGTATTGAGTAAGTATAAACAGTAGAGATTTTAGTGCCAAGTAATAATACCAAATACATGTTAAAATCCTTTGCTTTTTTTCTTTTATCAGCACTACCTCCAAAACCAGTGTTAACTGAGATCATTTTAGGTTGATTTTGTGCCCAAGCTGTATTTTGTGACAAGAGTGCTAAAAGAACTCCTTTACATATGAGAGGCCACACATAGAGTGTACCATGAGGCAACCCCTATATTGTGAAGGATAATTCAGGGACACAAAGCCTCATCTTATATTCCTACATTATCATCTGTTTAAATTCAGCATGTCTGAGATTTTTTGCACAGAGCTAAGATAGGTAGACATATCCTTCACCCCTTGTGCCTTATTGTGCCTTAAAGTACAATAAACAACTTGAGGTCAAAAGAGAAACATCCTAAAAGGCACAAACTGGGAATCATGCATTTAAATTGCCTATTTCAGTACCAACTGAGAAGACTTAAGCAAGTATAGTCAGATCACTGAAAAAAAAGAGGCCAAAAACTATAAAGAAAGATGAAAGAAAATGGTCAGGGATTATTTAGCAAGAAACAGTAAAATTTTATGCTCAAAGGTGAAATAAATATGTGGAGGAATACATTCTCATTATTAACTGATAAGACACACGTCAAACTTTTGATTATTATGTTTTTCCATTATAAAATTAGAAAAACACTTCAATGTATGATCCCTACAGGAGGAAATGGTTAAGTGTGGAGTGGAAAGTGCCTTCTACATCCTCATGGGGAAATGGAGGAAATGATCCTAAAGAAGCCGTTGCACATCACCATGGCCTTAGAGCGATGGGTCTCCTAGCATTAATGTCATGCACAGATGGGACCTCAACATAGATAGAGTCAGGCAGATAGTCATATTTAGGTGACTATGAGGACCAGGCATCTGTAGTCATTCTTCCTAGAAGGGCCAGGCCAGGAGCTGTGAGTTGTGTTTGCTTTGAGTTGACCGAAGTCAGATTCAGGCTACAAACTGAGGATAGATAAACAATTGCCACAGATGGAACTGCAAGGCCAAAATGTTGATTATCTATGAGTAAAGGCGAGGCTTTGTCCTATGAGTGTCAATGTCCGTAACAACACAATTAATAATAGCTAAATCTTGGAAGCAGCCTACATGTCCAACAACAGATGAATAAAGAAAATATGGTATTTATACACAATGGAGTACTACTCTGTTGTGAAGAACGATAAACTTGAGTCATTTGTAGGAAAATAAATGCACCTTGAGACTATAACAAGTGAAATAAACCAGGCATGCAAGCTTAATATCACGTGGTTTCTCTTATATGACAAACCCAAGGCATAAACAAAGAGCAAAATAAAAGATAGATAATGGAACATAGAGAGATCTTTCTCAAATGGGAAGGGAATCGAGATGGAGAGAGGGAGAAGAAATGAGAGGAGAAGGGGTGAAAAGGGGAATTGAGATGCGTTATGGACATGTACAAACTCCACATAAGGAACTGTAAACATTATGTGCCGCAAATATGTACTGATAAAAAAAAGTCATTTTGGACACAAAGAGCAAACAAATTGATTATAACAGTGCTGTTAATAATAATTTCCTCTTGTGTTTCTACAGTATTTTTAATCAAATTGCATTATTAGTTTTACTGTCACTTCAGTTCTAGTAGCCATGTTGAGTTGATTTATATTGACATTGTTATTTTAAAGTAAATAAAACACCTAAAACTTCAGTTATTTTGTCTGCTCAGCCATATAACTTGTTATGAGCAAAATAAAGCAGAGTCAGATACCTGGGCTCTACAGATTTTCAGGCCACATGCAGCCAAAAGAATTTAAGGGATTCAGGGACACAAAACCATGTGAAGTTTTTGCTATGGGTCGCGTCACTGTGGGTATGAACTAATGAAAATCTTCAGTAGAGGAACAAAACTTGTTGTTATAGGTATGTATCAGAGTAACCCAGCATTTACAAGGTAATAGAAAGAAGACAAGAAATGATCTTATTTGAAATATGATGAGGTTAGAAAAAAGGAGATTAGGAGGGAAATTCAATATAAAAATCTTAGGAGAGACTATAATAGAAATCCTTATATAAAGAAATGCATAGACAATGGCTTTCTGTATGTGGAACGTCTATAAAATGCTCCCATGTAATACATGTAATGATAACACTAAGGTGTTGACAGTGGGGCACAGTTCATCATTATGGATAAATCTGTGATGGACTCAGTGGAGCAAATCTCTCTTTTCTCGTGGCCAAGTTTGTTGCGGGAGAGTCTGGGTGTACCGGGGGGAAGACCTAGACTTTGAACTCCATCAGCAACAGGTCAGTGAGCCTACATGACTATTCTTTGGCCTGAGTCTCCTAATCCACAAAATGGGTTAACAGTGTGAATTCAGCATGGTTATATGAGAACTGAATGTGAGAATGTAAATAAAGTTCTTGGTACATTGCCCAATGTATAATAGATGTCCAATACAAGTTATTCCAATTCAAAAGTTAAAAAAGAATATTTTATTCAGTCTGGAGAGTAGTTTTCAACAAATAACATCTACAGAGAAGAAATTCTCCACAGGGTTGAATTGTACTTCTAACTGCTGAAATGCATGGTATCTTAACATCTGCTCACAAGATATGAGTCTGCAGGTATTTGTATCTCTTTAAATATTTCATCACTTGGCAAAAAATGAAAATACAATATGCTTTTCCAAACTGTTATTGTTCTATGTACTGTAAATCTTTGTCTTTTATGTGAACGGATAGTGCTTGAAACATTAATATTCATTGGTCCTGAAATTTTTAGTCAGTAAGAGTAGACTTCTCCCCATATTGGTCAGAAAAGAAATTTAAATTCACACAGAAAATAGTTAAGCTATAAAATCAATTAAATATGGTAGGGAATTTGTCATAAATGTGAAATGCATATTTAAATAGGAAATAAGTATTTGATGTAAGAATAGAAAACACTTGAATAAATCATGTGTAGATTTAAAATATAATACATTCAATAGACAGTGCCATTGATACTTTGTAAATTTATATACAGTTCACACTGCTGCATCTTAAAATGCAAACAGGTAATTTAACTCAAAATATATTGTTGGATTAGGAAAATAAATATAGATAAATGAGGTGGGCAGATTTATTTATTGTGATAATAAATAAATATATGGTGGCCATTCGATTCAATATTCAAATAAAATCATAGACCCTGTTGGTTTATGCAAGGTGAAAAATATTTTGGAAAATATCTTCAATACATAAAATTTAAAGTCATGCTAAAAAGATCATGTAACATAAGAAATACGAATTCAAACTATAGATACTAACCATATACAGTCAAGTACATTATTTAATGCTTAGCTAACTATTGCACTGAGAAAGTTATGAAAGTTAACAACTCATTTTATCCTCAAAAGCAAGAAGCTTGAATCTTTCTAAGAAAGAGACAAGAGGCTGTGCTACTGTAAAGAAATTTTTTCCAGTTCATCCTTTGATTCTCAATTTCTTTGAAATAATAAGTGTGCAGCATTCCTATGAAGAACACAATATCCTAAGATGAAAGTTAGATTTAATATGTTGAATTAGGGCTAAAACTGTATAAATATAATGCACGATTAAAATTTTAATTCTTTTTAATCACACGCTTTTGAACTACACATAAAGTAAAGGGTGGGAAAAATATACAGTGTCTTACAAATTGCACTGAAAGCAAGATGTATGAAATTAAAATAAATCTAGCATCAAATATTTTTATTACATGCTCGGAATGTTAACATTATATGCTTACTGGTTGTGTGTATTTGTGAATTGTGATACTAACTTCAAACTAGCTGAAAGAGAATATTGGCTACCTATTTGACTTTTGATTGGAAATCAAATTAGAAAATTCCAACATTTGTAAATCATTGGCTTAAAAATAAAAATGTAACCAGTTAACATTTCAGATGGATATGATGTGGCTTTGTAAACATATGAGGTTTTGTTGTATATTTTGACATTGTGTCTGGTAGTAACTCTGGAACCATAACATTTAACCTTGCACCAATTATTTATACACTTTATTCAGTAGGTATGATGAAGAGAATAATGTACCTCTGAAACAGATGAGTAGTATTTTGGGTAAATACTAATTTTGAGAGAGATACTGAGAGTTAAAATATGGATATGCAGTTGTGTATAGACCTGCTCCCAAATGGGGTCAATTCGTATTAAACAAAGTATGAAAAATATACCTCTATAAGTAGTAACACTTGAACTTCAAAAGAATTTCCAAACTAAAATATATTTTTAGTGAACATGAAGAAAGCAAAATGAAATTTGGATAAGTGCATTAACTGATAAAATTAGCACAAAAGCATTTTTGAAAATAATTGATAAAATTTTTATTAGCACTCTTGGAAATATTGCTATTTTGCTTCTAAATTCAAGATGCTGTGATACATTAGGAAGTACAGCTTTAAACAGTGCCTAACTCAAGTGCCTAGTGGAGTTCAGATATGAAAGTTTGATGTGTAGCAACAGAGATTAACTAGGAGAACTCCAGGAATGTCCAGCTAGGCATGGGATTCACATTCGAAACAAGGAGATCAATTTGATAGACCTAGGTACTTGTGGAATGAGATTCCCATTAAAAGAAATGATAGCATATTGCTATAAAAACTAAAACCTCCACTTGGTATTCATTTCCATGGAAAAAGACAAGGTGCATCCTAGAAACAGGTACATAGAAAGTGGGTGGCATGAGATGGGAGAATATGAGAATGACAGTTACTTGGCCAGAACAAGTGATGAAGGATGGGAGAGGAAACTCTTCAGAAGGGACCACAGGTCCTTATCTTCAGAGACATCATCCAAATGACTGGTCTCCTGCCCTCCCGCTGACACCCATCCTGAAAACATTCTCCACTTTGAGGAAACAAAGGAGATATGAAAATGTGAATGGGCTCCCAAATGTTGGATTCCTCAATTATGAACGATTAAAAATCATGCCCCATATGAACATGTGGAAAAAGGACAAAGGTCAGATTTTTTTCCTAGGCTCTGCCACTTAATAGCTGTCACTTTTTGCCAATTGCTTATCTTCTTGAACCTCTTTGTACATCAATAAATTAAAGAAAATAATCAGTGTGAATACTTATTCAAAGCCAGCTCGTCTTCCTATCACGGTGAGCTAGGTGCTTACAAAACATGAAGTGTTTGTGCTTCTCTAATAATTCTCTTTACTGATGTTCCATTTTCTCACACAGATAAAAAGTTTGACACAGACATTTTCCCCAAGCCCATTATGTTTCTTCCTTCAATTGCTCAAACAAATCTCCATGAGGCTGGAACATACCTTTGTCTTTTGGAGAAGTTTTTCCCTGAAGATATTAAAGTATATTGGAAAGAAAAGGATGGGAATATGATGCTGCAGTCTCAGCAGGGAGATACCAGGAAGACTAACGACACCTACATGAAGTTCAGCTGGTTAACAGTGACTGGGGATTCAATGGATAAAGAACACAGATGTATCGTCAAACATGAGAACAACAAAGGAGGAGCTGATCAAGAGATTCTCTTTCCTCCAATAAATGAAGGTATGCATATAAATATAATCACCCAGAATAATTATTTGAAAGAGAATACCTCGCCTTTTCTAACAACTGTTAATGCAAAACAAATCAGTCTTTTTAAAATTTCACTAGATTTAATGGTAACGCAAATGCTGTATTATTTCCTATAGTATAAAAATTGTAGAGGCTTTGAGAAAACAAACAACACTTTTACTTAAGCTTTCTCAGCCTCTGTTTCTACATCTAGAATATTAAAACATATGATATTTTAAGAATTAATATATAAATTCAATCAAGCAACATACATGAAAGAACTTAGCAACGTATAACACACTAAGTGTTCCACTTTTGAACACTTTACTTGATTTAGAAATAAGAATAATATTATGTCATTCAGGAATGTCCTACCAAAGATACCTACTTAAATTATTTATTTATTTATGAAGAATGAAGTCTTATTTGATAAAATGTGCTCAGTTGAAATAGCTAGATCCCAGCTCAATAAAACAGTATAATCTTGGCCACTGCAGTTTTATATCTAACTTGAATTGTTTTGATGTTGATTTCATACATTACATTAGACAATTTCATAATTGAAGCTTGAGAGAGGCGAATACATATGAGCTTACTTTCATTCTCCATTATGAATATATCTTACACCATCGCCAAATGTTAACTACATTACATTTTTTGTAGTATTAGCTTATGTCAGGCCTGAGTGGGAATGTGGATAAGAACAGTCTAGGAGGAGATAGGGTCCCAGGGTTAGATACTCTGCAGGGAAGAGAGAATGTTCTTTTCCTAATTACTCAAGGTCATGCACGATTCAGGTCACTGTCCCAAAGGAATGCATTTGATGCAACGTTGCATAGGTCTGCACTTCTGGGAAAATGCAAAGCCTGTCAGTGGTCCAGTAACTCACTGTACATCACAGTTCTGAGTCATAAGCAACAGCCCAAAGGCCCCAGAGCAGCCATGGGAAGGAATCCTCTTGGTCATTCCTATGTAGCTAATAAACCCCTTTGAACCACTGGAAAACATTCACATGACAAAACTGTGAAGACCTTTCTCGCCAACCATCCAGATTTACCAGTGAGTCTCCATCCCCTGGGACCCTTTGTTCCTGCAGTGACCAGTGAGGTCTCAACAGTTGCCTGACTTTCCTTGGGACAATGAGGAGGGGCAAATGAAATGGTGTCAGTGAAAACATTTGCTTTTGAAAAATATAGCTTGTATGCATTTATTTAGAAACGCATTGTACTTTTTGTATCTTTTCTAAGACAAATTGAAGTGCAATTACAAAAATAGCCACAATTTTCTATTTTCATTGCTAAGAAAAGGAAAAGAGGACAATATGCAAAATGCAAGGTTAATGCAACCACTTTAGTTGAAGTGTCCAGTTAGGTTCTGATTTTTTAAAGTGATCAAGGAAAAGTAAAATGCATACTATGTTTTGTGGTAATGAATACCATGTAGGAGAGTGGTTCCAGTGTAATAAGATTTTATTTGGCATCAAATATAAAAACTAATATCTTTCCTGAGATTCTCATGGCAACAAAGTTAAGGAAGGCATTCTGTCAACTTCATCCTAAGCAGTTTTCTTTTTTTTTAATTTTAATTTTATTGGTACATTTTAGACATACAATATAATGACATTCATCAATGGAGATTTGTACCTTTATGTAATATATCTTGATTCGTATTTTTCCCCATATCCTGCCCTCCCTTCAGCCCCTCCACCCTTAGCTATTTACAAAGTCTTTGTTTCCATTTTTTCATTTTCTCATGTTAATTCCATTCCCCTTTGCGTTCCCCTACCCCTCCAACTTCCCCTTTGCACCTTTTCTTCCTGTTGTGTTGATACTTTTAAGTGAAATAAATAGGACACATATGT